CCATCAATGCTAACCCCAATAAAGTATATATCGTCTGAAAGCTTAATGAATATAGATTGTATTTTTGAATTTTGCCTTAGTCATATAGACCATAATAAGCAATGTCAACATTTTGTTTGCGATTCTGACATTGTGCAACATTTGGTTTATTCCTGAGCATGTTTACATGAACACCTAAACTTTAATGTGGAATTTGATCTACACATATTGGTTAAAGAAACAAGTGTGTCAGAGTGTCTCTGATTTTTCTTTTGATGCCCCATTTTTTATGAATTTTTAACTTAAAAGAGGAGTTTATAGTGCTTTTTAAAGTTTAAAAAATAATGGAGCATTAAAAGAAAAATCTGAGACACCATTTTTTAGACCAATATATGTAGATCACATTCCACACAAAGTCTAGGTGTTTCTTGTAAACGTATTCTCGAATAAACCTAATGTTGTACAACTTCAGAATCGCAAGCAAATGCTAACATTGCCTATTATGGTCTATATTATCAAAACAAAATCCAAAAATACAATCTATACTCAATTATCTTTCAGACGATATACTTTATTGGGGTTAGCATTGATGGTTTGCACACCATTTCACTTAGAATGCAAACACCTGAATTTTCCTTCTGTGATACCTTAAGAATGCATTTTGATGTTTAAAGCCAAGGAATGCTGTACAGGTGTGTGATAGGCATGTCCTCTGACTGGTGGTGATCTCATTTTCCAAACATGGAGATCTCATAATATTTCAGTGATTTGTAATGACATTTTCCAAACATGGAGATCGTGTGTATCCCAGACAGGTTATCTTATTTTCCAAACCTGGAGATCTCACAAATTTGATACTGGTTATTCCATTTTCCGACAATGGAGATCTCAAAAATCCAAGAATGGAAATGTCATTTTCCAAATATGGAGACAATATTAATCCTTGAATGGATTTTTTATTTGCCAAGCCTGGAAAATGGAAATAAGATCCTGTTCTGGATAAGTTACTATCCAAAGTTGTATTTTTTATTAATCCTCTCCTGGATATTGCAATTTCCTTTTTTTTCCAGTCCTGGCTATATAAGTGTGCCAGGCTTGGAATTTGTCTTAACCCTCACCGCATATTTCTTGATAAACCAAACTTGGGGAAATTGTTTTTTCTTGAAAACCAGGAAATATCCAGGCGAAAACCAAGTAAAAACTGGATTGGATTTTTCACATTTCTCCTGTGTACGCGTAAACATCGGAGCGCGCGTGCTAACTATTGATTTAACTTGAAAATTTTTATTCTGTGATCATCTGGCGAAATATTACAAGAGTTTGTATGGAAATACTTACGACCGTTCTTAGGAATAAAAAATACAGTCAAATTCTGAATACGAAATACCTCACCTCACTTCCACAGTGCGTCGCTTAGTATCTGACGGCTTCATGTTGAAAAGAACCTGTTTTGACGAGTTATCCATTTCTAGGTTTACTACGTACATAAGAAAGGCTCTCAGATAACTGATGATGTGCTCCCTTTATTTTGCAAACAGTGAGTGTTGGTCTACAAAGTTGATGAAAGGAAATGCAAACTTGCTAAAGCAGCCTATCTTGGTCCAAATGATGATGAAGATGCAAATAGAAATGTTAACCAAAAGAAGGATGGCACATTCAGGTGGCCAAAACAGAGAGACACTGACATAGTCAGCCATAGATATATCTTCTCACATGCAAGAGTGCAGAAAGTTTGTAATTGTTTTGTTGTTAGTTACCTTGAGAGTATTGATCACAAGTGTAAAACAAGTCAAGAAATTTACATGAATGCTGTTACATAAATAGACATTATAATAACTGTCCATAACATTTTACACATGATATTAGACGAAGGAAATGATATTTGAAGTTTAGACAAAAATACATTAAAACAGTGAGTATGTTTTCAATAATTTCGTCCAAATATTTTTCACATCACATTTATTTATAATATACCTTCAAAATAGTTTAAATATACAGAAATATTTTTGATGTACAGCCACAATTATTTAAATCAGAGTAAACAGATATGAAGAAATATAGGAGCAAAATCTGTCTCCACAAGGAAAATCAGTGATATCAAAATAGAGCTAAAAATTGTCGAGTCCGTAAAGGTACCAAGACGACAGGCATAAACACAACATGCTTTAATACGATCGATTCATACAGCTAGAACCCCCCGACCTCGCTACTGCCGGTCAGCGGTCAGTTAGGACTTCATGTTACTACAAAAATCATTAACATTTTAATTTTATTGCAGAAAATTTCATACCAACTTTTTTGAGTTAAGAAAGTGTAAACTGAATAACACAATTTTGGAATCCTAAAGTAATATTTATGTACAGCTGGTGAAACAAAATAAACTATAAGAAAATCCAGACTTCTGGTCATGTCTTTCATGTGTGTGTGCTTGTACAACAGGACCA